TCCATGCAACGCCCATAGGGCTAATGTTAAAATGCCAAAATCAAAGGGGGGCACGGTGCCCCGGGGCCCTCCCCGTTCCGCCGCCTATGATCGTATTATCGTATTTCTGATAGCATTAAAAATCTTCTTGTTGCACAGCTGGCAGAGTCATTAACTGTGGTTCAATCGATCTTGTATCGTTCCATTACCTAGTTTTTGAATTGATAAAAGTGTTATTAATTAAAAATGATACCTAAGCTTATTTATGTGCTATATCAATTTTAATTATGCTCCAATATCCACATTTAATGTGTGGGTGTCTTGCTATAATCTATCTCTTAGGTTGTAGTCTAAATCGGGCACATTTTACTTTTTTAATTAGTTATTCTTTTCTTAACTTTAACCAATTTGAGGCGTATGTACTATACCAGCAATCGACATTTTGCCAATTGGTGGTGGTAACTGAAAATGTAGCTAACTCCTGAGTAAGGACGGAAAGAGGAACTCAACCTATTCATTGTTCAACGCAAAAAGTCTCATCACGGTATGTTACAGGGATTATTTATTCATGCAAATTTTAAGCCGTAGCTAGAGCTGAAGTCGCTGAAATAGAGAATGGGAGATTTTACCTAAGCGTCTGGAGGACGAAGGTCGAGTGTTAGATTAGTTCAAAGAATTGCTCACAATGTCGTAGTTCTTGACCCGTTAAAATTAAAAATTTCCTGCGTATAATGTATTTGCAATGAATAATTCAAGAAGAAAAGACCCCCGCAATGACGAGTGTATGTACTATGTACGCATTGGGCCGATTGGGCCTAGCTCACCGTCACCAGCTGTAACAACAAGACCTTAGGTTGTCTGCATATTAATGTACTTTATACATACATTGCACAAGCATATCCTCAGAGGGAGATGGTCTGTAGGAAGCAGCGGTACAACTGATCGAAAGGTACAGCGAATGAAACAAGACCTTCCGGGCCTTGGATTTAATTCAAGCCCGCGGCTCTCCTGTTTAAGCACCCCTAACGATGGCGCACATCTCCACTGTTTTTAGCACTTATATATTTCTGCCTATATATTTCTGCTATATATATTCTGCTTATATATTTCTGCCGCACGCGTTGTAATTATTTTTCCAATGATTGTTATCGGTGCTTGTTAAAAACGTCAAAAAATCATTATTAGGCCCCCACTTTGAACCGTTGCAGCTGTGCTACTGTATAGTCGACTACAGAATGATGTTCCACTTTTCATGCAGGCAATTATTTGCCTGGAGTGGTAGGCTGTGCCGCATCACACGGGCTGAGTTCACAAATTATAGCTTTGTTCCAATGCTCACAATCGACACGCTTAATTGCGTGATAGACGGCACAACTTAGCGCTCCGGTCAACTGATAGCTTCTGAGGAGTGGAACATCATTCTGTAGTCGACTATACGCTTATAATTTATACAGGTGTGATAAATTACGCGCTTGAATTACTCCTAAGCCACGCGCATGCTGGGTCTGACGGTGTCACGCACGCTGTTCTCCACACGATTGCGCCGTTAGCTTACATTGAGCGTTAACGTTTACTTTGCAGCTTACGGCCCCATGCGCTAGCTCGGTAATCAGCAGATCAAACACACCGGCACGGCACAGCCGTAAACTGCCCTTCGCTCCACAGAGCACAGCAAATCGACGTCGTATCCTTCAAAGGGAAAGTTCTGCACGCCTGTTTGTGCACACTGACAGCGGGAATAATTTGCAATGGTGCGAAACGCTCAGTGCTTATATTCTTTTTTTTTTGGGGGGGGGGAAAGGCTTCGTAGAATTACGATGGGAAAAAGGGCGAATAAGACGATTTCTTTAGAAGTACAGGGAGCAGAAGCCAGCGGTGAGAAGTCGAAACAAAAAGAAGTATGTTTTGCTATGGGAAATAATGACCAAGCAGTCAGACTTACACCGGTTAAGAGATTATAATACCGAGATTTAGGGTATAGAGACCCAAGGAGTCAGGGTTCGGGATTTAGCAGCTCAAAGATGTGGAAATTCAGGATGAGTGTGGGGGCTCGAGAGCTAAGGGGGACTTGAAGGATGACAAGCATGAGGCGGAGACTGGGGAAGTTAGGATGCCCTTTGCCGGTCCAATTTTTGCAGCAGGAGTGGCTCCTACCATCCGTGTCATCCAATAGATGCGCCGGAACGCAGGGAGATGGGCCGGGAATGGGCGATGAGACGATAAGAGGGAGGACGAGAACCGTCTGTCCGGCACGGATACGGTGGCAGTTTCAGCACCTTGCGGAAAGGTTAGAGTTCAGATCGCTCCACGTCGCCACGACGTCACACGTGAGAGGTCTGCAGTCCACAGCATGGCTAGTGGCTTGTGCAGAGAGAGAGAGAGAGAGAGAGAGAGAGAGAGAGAGAGAGAGAGAGAGAGAGAGAGAGAGAGAGAGAGAGAGAGAGAGAGAGAGAGAGAGAGAGAGAGAGAGAGAGAGAGAGAGAGAGAGAGAGAGAGAGAGAGAGAGAGAGAGAGAGAGAGAGAGAGAGAGAGAGAGAGAGAGAGAGAGAGAGAGAGAGAGAGAGAGAGAGAGAGAGAGAGAGAGAGAGAGAGAGAGAGAGAGAGAGAGAGAGAGAGAGAGAGAGAGAGAGAGAGAGAGAGAGAGAGAGAGAGAGAGAGAGAGAGAGAGAGAGAGAGAGAGAGAGAGAGAGAGAGAGATGATTATTAGGTATTACTTTGAACTTGTTCTTGATAATTGTATTCTCGATATCGGTCCATAGAATTGGACATTGAAATTAAAAAAAAGATTCATTCAAGGGCGTGTGTTCTAGTTTGCTTTTCACTCTTGCTTCGATATGCAGCAGCTCGAGATGAAATGGAAACCGAGGAAGTTGCAATACGAATGTCGTAGGCGAGAATACGATGTCAAAAGATGGAAAATAATCGAAAGACCATCTTTCGATACATTAAATGTTTGAAAAGGCTTTTAGCTGAAATATCACAACAAAGTGTATTTATTGTCACTATTCTCTTTTTTTAATTATCGAGGAAAAGGTCATGATTTTACATTTCCATATTCTTTTTAAAATGTTTCTCGCAGAAGTAATTTCCTCATTTAAGTATGAACAATGTTCAACATAGGTACAAAATTTCTTGTCGCATACCTACAATGTTTGATCTTTTCTTTAGCTTATTCTCCCCCAGATACCCCACATCGACGCTGTAAAGGGATGCCAGCACTGTCGCTGACTCACATTTCGCCCGAAAACGGTAGAGAGCGTCGAATAGAATATCGTGAGGTGTTTCGATGCACCCGTTGACGAGTTAGCGGAACGGCACCGCGGGGGCGACGTGGTAGGCTTAAGTTTGACGTGATGTGAGCGATAAATCGGTTGTGCGACCAGAGATCTATAGGGGAGACCCGGGAGGTATGTGCCGGTTTTGTGAAAAGGCAGTGGGCAGTGGCTAGACCCCGGTTTTAGTTTAGTTTAGTTTAGTTTATTCCATCAATCATCCACAGGGTCTCCCCTACATATATAGTCTCACGATAAAAATCCATCAGGCGAATTAGGTAAAAGTGTCGACAGCGTGGCTTTCGGAAAGGAGATAAATTTGAACTGTTCTTTGTCGCATTGTCATGGATATGTTTCAATTCACTATCTTATTACGAGAAGCTACAACTGTAGATAAATCTTGAGCGTACGGTTAGACATTAAGTTGAATAAGAAATTGTCAAAGTTCGTAGTACGTTTCCCGCACAATAAAAGTAATGGCGAACGTAATTCGCAGACATAGAAAAGTCATGCACTTAGCTCATAGCTGCTCATGCAATAGCTGAGCATTCTGGCAACAATAACGAAGCAATAGAGTGTACCAATACTCACATTTATAATCAAACCAGTATTTATTTTACATATACGCACGTCGCACAGCTATGCATTTCGCCTTTGTATGCGACTCGATGCCATCACACGACACCGTTTGTTTTACTAACCGTTCCGGACGGCTGTCGGTGCGGGCTGTTGATCGTTCCGGAGCGGCCGTCTCCTGTCTGATTTGCGTCCCAGTCGCTCCACCCTCCGCCCGTGACCTGACCTCCGTGACCTGACCGCCGTGACCAGACCGCCGTGACCTGACCGCCGTGACCTGACCGCCGCCCGCCCGCCTCCCGCGTGACTGCCGGCCGCCGCCGCTCCGACCCCGCCGCCGCCGACGGCCGAGTGCCAGCGTCGACGGCGACGAGGACGGCGCGCGACGGGCGCAAGCGCCGCCGCAGGGGTCCACGTCCCCCCACCCCGAGCCGGACACGGGGAGACACAATAAGCCGGCACCTGTTGTGTACAAACACTGAGACGAGATACGCTAAATAGAACCGGCGGAGATAGCGCGGAGAATAACATCTGCCTGGGAGGTCTCTTGGGCCGCTGGCCGTTTGAACTTCAGGCTTTTCCATTTGTTTGCTTACTTGTTACGGCAATGTGCTCAGCGAAGTTGCCTTGGAGCCTAAACGAAACAGACGATTATTTATCAAAAGAAGTGCGAACTTGGATAATGTAGGCGAAGCTCTTGAATCAGATTGCATTGCAATGACTTCATGATCGTCTCGCAAATTTCACGTGAGAGCTAAAACGACCATACGGGCACGCCCGAAGATGTCTGGTAGATGAGCTTCCATGTAGTTCGTATAGTTCTTCGCTGTTCGATGGTAAAGTCTGGGACTATCGGGACTATTTGGATCCGAAATTATATGAGATGCCTTTTGTCCTTCACCCACATATTTCGCCAACCTCAAGCAATCCTTGCCCATGCATAGATATACGAGCGTATTTCGAGTGCCAGAGCACATTGAGCCCGTCTCTCATCACTGGGAATTATCTGTCGGTATACCAGCTGAGCTACGGGGCTGATTATATCTAAATAGTGATTTTCTGTTGGCAAAAATAAGTTACACCCCTGTGGTATTTTCTGTCCTTTGACATACCTTCTGTCCTTTGGTTTGGTAGGTATTCAACACATGACGTGATTGTAAAAAAAAAACGTAGTTAATAGCATTGTACTTGTTTTATTGCAAGAGTGTGTTTCCATACACGTTGTCAATTGTTGATGTTTTCATCAGTGATTTATCCGACGATCAAATCACGTTTTTTTCAGATTGCACTCGGCGATGACATAACACGACTAGAACCACGAGTAGTTGAGTGCACAGTGATTCACACTTCCCGCCGAGCCGGTATCAACAAGTAACACACCGGTCAGCTCTGGGTTCCCACCGTCTGAAAGCTCGACAGTTCACAATCTATGAAGATGATCTAGTGCACGGACTCGGCCCTCTCTCGTCTCCGCCGGTCGTCGGTGGAGCCGGCCGGCCGGCCGCTCCGCTCAGCTCAGAAATCCCAGAGCCATCTGTGTCTTTATGTTGGGAAAGAGGTCGCTGTCGAGAGCGCCCTACTGGTACTTGGGGGGCTCGTAGGAGGGGGGTTCGTAGGAGGGGGGCTCGTACGAGGGCGCCTTGTACGACGGCGGCTCGTAGCCCTTGTGCTCGTCCTTGCCATAGCCGCCCTTGTGGTCGCCCTTGCCGTAGCCCTTGGGCGCGTGGTTGTACTCCCAGTAATGCTCGCCGTATCCTCCCTTGGTGTCGGCCCACTTGACCTGGAAACGAGACGGCACATCGGTCAGCTCGGGGCTGTGGTATGAGAGCTTATTACGGGGAGCTACTGCGTATTAATTATAAACTCGTGCATAGGAAACGATCGTTGACCTGAACTAATCTTATATTCATGAGTGTCAATACTAATAGGCGTCATTATATGTAACAAGTAACAACCCATGTGGACTTTATTTATTCTAATGATTTGCCCGTAAATTGGCACACAGCTTTTACGTTTTGCCGTATCAAGTCGATTTTTACCCAATATTTATGCAACAACCATTGAAGCGATATTTTCATACACAATGTGTGTGGTGTATTGACGGTGGTTTGTACCGTACCCGGGTGCGGAAGCGGTGGTCCTTGGCCTGCTCGTAGCGGCTGATGTAGTGGTGCGGGTTGCCGCGGTTCCAGCCGAACTCGTACTCCTTGTGTCCGGGCACGTTGACGTACTGGAAGTAGCCGTCCGGCTGTTTGCCGTAGCCGTCACCTCCGCCACCCTGGGCGGAGACGGCCACGGCCAGCATGGCCAGGCAGAGCACAGCGAGCTGTAACGGGCGGGGAGATCAGAACGAGATCACAGGGAAAAAATACACGGCGAAATACCAAGACATGAGCGGAACGGAGCGTAAAAAATGATGGATATTTGAGCTGTAATAGGTACAAAATTAAAAAGAAGCTAGTTTACTCGCTTCATTACGTAGGCACTACAATGTGCAAGCTTGTATTTTCAATTATTTGCACCACGCTTTGGTGATCACTTATCAAACAGCACGGTGCTAATGCGAAAGAAAACTCCTCGACAAGGCATGGAAACTGCGCCAAGGTTAATTAGAGAGCCCTCCCCTCCGCCAGATGGTGTGACTGTTCCCCAGGGGCCTCCAGTCGGCGAACAGATCGCATGTTAACGGTGTATCAGGATGTCAAAGTGGGCGAGTCGTGAGTGAGAGTGATGCAAAGGACTTCGGGCAATCGGCGAGAGCGAGAGCGAGAGTGCTGGCATTAAGTGAGAGTGAAATCAACATAGCAAGTGTCGCAGTCCTTCACATTGCAACCATTGGGCCATGTTTTGGACACTGAATGTAAAAATGGGCAATTTTGTTCCTGCCTCAGGTCTGGTTGGCATTTTTAATGCATACTTTTTTAAAAGGTACGTTTTGATGTTCAGAACTGGCGCAATAACTTTATCTCTGAAAATTTAGCTTGGCGCTCACTATACGAATCTCATTTTCAGGCACACTGGAAGTCGCTTGCACTTCTCTGGACCACTTATTCACACCGAAGACGTTCACACTTGGGGCGTCGGAAATCGCTCGGACCACCGCCGACCGCTGAGAGCTGGCGATGTTCACACAGATCACTGGGAGGAGTCGACTGCCGAGGTCAGCCCCAGGAGAGCACACTTACCGTTCCTCGGTGGGCCATGTTGAGCGTCTGATGCCTGGGCTGCCGGCCGGCAGCGTTATATAGCTGCCAGGGCGCGGGTTTCTCTGGGAGGGCGTGGTTTCTCCCGTAAATCAGCCGACCGGCCGACCGGCGGGTCACCTCCCCGAGCACATCACACAATGAACACAATGGAGCCGCGAGATGGGGGAGAACTCCGGCGGTGACCCCAGAGGTCAGCTCGTGATACCGTAATGCACAGGGAGATGCAGCATGGACCCACGGACTTCCTATAACCATATCGTGCCCGTCTCATTTGTGTAGCCTGCTGAATGATATACAGGGTGGCACATAAAAAACGCTCCAAATTTTGAAGCTCCATTGACAGCGTTACTTATGCTGTGGATAAGTACTTGAAATTTACGGGAGCAGCAGGTAATGTTTCAGACATCTTCCTAAAAAGTCCAAACATTTCTGGCTATTATAGTCGTTCTTTTTTATTGCATTGGAAGAAAAAAGTGACCGGACTGAGTCAATTTTTTCCTCAATCAATTTTTCCTTGTTCAAAATCGTATGCGCGTGAGATTGGAGCGCTCCTCCTTCAGCGCGGACCAGGGTTTGGTCGGCGCTTCCACTACTTTTTTTGCTTTTGCAATTTTTTATGCCTAGGACGGTACTGGCCGTGTCCAACTTCCTTTACGAAGTTTCTGTGATTGCCTTCATAATGTTAGCTAGCGCCGGTCAACGCTCCCGTGAATAGCCAGGTTTTTGGCGACGTTTGTCTAACTGAACTGGGTTCCCAAAGTTCCCGAGCTGTTGGAATAAGAACGACTGGTCGTTGCCACCTCTGCACTTCCTTTGTTAGAGAATGGACATCCTACAGGTACAGGTCTCACGGGTTTTAGCGGTCGGTTTTGCCCCCATGAAATTTAATACATTTCCGGCTATATCCTCTTCGTCTTAAACTTTTAAGGGTTAAAGATGCAACCCATTTATTGGTACCCATGCCTGCCATGATCCTCTAAAATGGTTTCATCGTACATCGATTAGTTTCTAAGATACAGCCGGAAATGTGAAAAGGCGAAACCTACCGCTTAATCCCGCGAGAGCCGTACTACTCAGTCTAATCGAGCCCACTTGTTGAAATTTAAAAATGAATGATTACGGAGCGAGCGAAGCGAGCGGAGTCTCATACTGAATTAAGGGAAAATCCTGAGTATGAGCGGCCGGCCGGCCGGCCGGCCGGCCGTGGGGACGCTCTTCAAAAGCTAATATCTTAGGAACGGGACATCCGATTGACAAGCGGTCTTCTTTACTGAATGTCACTTGGACGTAAAAGTTCTGTGGTGTGATGGCCACCATGCGTTCTTGCCAACCACCGCACGTGGCGCGTGGTAAAGTTGGACATTTTTTAAGAACCCCCAAAATTGCAACCTCAATAACGGCACAACGGTTGGGCCGATTGAATTGAAACTCGGTACAAAGTTAGGTCTCCATCAGATAATTCATCTGCATGTGTTAAGGTCGGGGTGCTACAGCACGTGCGCACGTACAGGGGGCGCTCCCAGATCTCGAGAACGGCTGGGCCGATTGCGCTCAAATTTGGTACACGGTTGGGGACCAGTTAGTAGGGTGCCGTGCAAAAGTCAGTTTGGACCCCGCTTGCACGTGCGCACGTGCAGTGTGCCGCTTCCAGATCTCGAGAACGGCTAGGCCGATTGCGCTGAAATTTGGCACATCGCTAAAGACCGGTTAGTAGGGTGCAGTGCACAAGTTAGTTGGAGGTGCCCCCTCGCAATTTCGCACGTGCAAGGCCCATCCTCTCGCTCGCTCCGTTGGTCGCCCAAAAGGCGTTTTACTGGTTAATATGCTGATTGACTGTTGGACCTATTTTGGTGTTGGAACTAAAATTCCTATCGAAAAAGCACTGCGCCAGGTGTTTTGTTCCAAATATATTTTGATGGTGCCTCTCATAAACGTGCTGCATACACGCTCTACAGTTCCTGTAGTTCTGATGTAAATAGTGCAAAAATTAATTAAAAGGTCTATTTTGTCCGTGATGACTAGGTTTATGTGATACGACACGCTATTCTGTCGTCATGGATAAGAATCATCTTAGCATTTAATTCTAAAAGGCAAGAAGAAGGGAAAGGTAGCATTTACTTTAAGTTCAACTAAATTCCGTCGCAATTGAAGGCATTTCAACCAAACTTTGTCATGACCTACAAATGTGTCAGACTTCGATTCCTATAACCTTTTGTATTCTGTATGAGCATTTGAGAAATTATGCGACTTTTAAGTTCGAAACGTTTCATTTTGGGGGCCACCCGGTATTTGCCCCCAAAACAAATTTTTTTTTTTTTGCTGCCACACTTGGCGTGTGCTTTAGCCTAAATAATAATAGGCCTTATCGAAAGAGTGGAGCAGCGCGCGTCTACCCGTTATGAGTTCCGATCGACTGATACCATAGCCCGCGAGTTATTCTCGGTCTTGTCGAAAGATTACTACCTCCCACGCAGTGAGACGTGGGCTGTGCACGCATTTATACAAACTTTTCGGCTAATCATTCCAGGACTTGCAAGTGATTTCAGGACTGTTAGATGACAGGTTAGGAGGAGCCATCAGGCTAGCTCGTTCACCGGTGGTTGCAACATAGCCGAGAATTCCACTTTGTAGTTTGTTGGGACAAGCTACACAGCTGCTCAACCGGTCATCTCAGAAGGGTGTGCTTTTATTGGAATTTTCCTTTCTGGCATTCTGTCAAACTTTTAACCCGCGCCCCACTGGGCTATTCAGCCATTCGCGCGGATCTTAAGAGCCAATTTTTTGCTTAAGTAGGTCAGAGGTCAGGCCAAGGTCAGGTCAAGGGTACAAAATGCAAGTTTTTACAGTATCGGCCTTGCACTGTATATTGCCGAAGAATGGACTGAGACTGATTGCCCAAAACGTGTTCTTAGGCTACCAAGACAATATTCGTTGCATACAATATCATTCAAAGGTCAAGGTCAAGGTCAGGTCAGGTCAGGTCAGGTCACCAAAAACAAAATATAGAAAAGAGCATGTGCGACACATGTTTTATGGGTCATTTTATTCATAAAATTCAATATGCACACTCAATAAGTGATATGGACCACATCTGGATGAAGGTCAGGTCGAGGTCAGGTCAAGGTCAGGTCAAGTGTGGTCAAATTTTGAAGTTGGTTGTTAACCCGCGCACCGACGGGGGGGGGGTGGATATCCGCCCCCTTGAGGTTTTTCGTAGATAGCGGGAAACCGCGGCGCGTAGCGCCGCGAAATTTTGTACGACTATTCTCTCATCAGTTTTACACATGGTGTGCAAGTTTGAACCTCCTAACTTTTAAGGTCAGGTCACCAGGTCACTTTGAATGACCCAATCTCAAGTCACTTTTTTGCAACTTTGTCACCGTGCCAGAGCTACAGTAGATGTCGGAGGCCTTTGAAAGTCGCAGGATGTTATAAGGTCATTAGTAGCTACAATTTGTTTATCTCGGACTTTTGATATCGATGACCTAAGGTCAGGTCAATTTCTCGACCTCCCCATTGGGGGAGGTCGAGAAATGGGGGAAAATCAATGGGGGAAAATCAATCCCTGTTTTTACCACTAAAACGGGTCGGAATGGCCCCATAAACCATACATGACTTCATATACGATCAACCTTCACTACCTTGGGGTCTGTTTTGCTGTTGGGCAGCTGTAAGGTCATGTGACGTCATCAAAGGTCATCAAAGTTTTTTTGCCAATAACTCCGTACAGGAACAAGATACAGCCGCGCGGATGGTCTCACTGTGTTCAGCTTGTCAAGGCGCATCAAAATATATACATGATGACCTCGAGGTCATGTGACTTGAGGTCAACCTTTGACCTTGACCTTTCGAGGTCAAGATATATATCATTCGATGCGGATTGACGAGAGGATCACGATGATGCCCTTAGTTTGTTCCTACCTCGACTAGCTCGAAAGTTATTTGAGAAAAACTCTTTCCATGCGTAGCGCCACCATTTGGATTTTTTGACCCCTGTGACGTCATCTTTGACCTGACCTGAAAATGACCTCATTGAAAATTGTAGACCTTGTCCGTGCGTATCCCATGCCGTTTACCGCTTGTCACTATCTTGCTTGGTTCTCGAGATCTCAGGGGGGCGGTCATCCGCCCCCCCCCGTCGGTACGAAGTTGGCGCAGACCCCCGTCGGTGCGCGGGTTAAGATCTAAAAAGGTGTCTATCTAATGCAGTTTTTTCACGGCGAATCGATTGGTGCTATTTTTGTTTCCGTACGAGTTCTAGAACCTCCAAAAAAATTCATTTTTCAAAAATGGTGTGTGTCGTGACGTCATGACATTATGAATAACTCCCACATTTTGAACCGATTCTTCTAAAAATTGGTATGTAGGTGTACATACTCGTAGACCACTCCTCTGACACATATTCCGGTTTTTCCGATACACTCAAACTTTTTGATTTTATAATTATTTTCCCTTAAAAGTTAGTTTTTTAAGAAAAAATTGGGCCAAAATACAAAATTTTCAAATAAAAACCGAGATAGCCATTTGATAGACAAATTTGAATCACGTATGACCTTTTTAATGCGTCTTGATTCCTTTAAAAATGAAGATGCTAGCGGCATTTGAAATTTTGCCGTTTTTGAGGCGAAAATGGCGTACATGACGTCACTTAAACGTTATTTTCTCAAAAAAATTCCCGACGGATTTCGCTTAAATTTTCAGGAAACGTGTTAAATTGATGTATAATAAGGTACGGAAAGTTTGACGTTGCTGGCGTAACGCGTTTAGAAGTTATTGGCAAAAAAACGGGAGGGGGACAGATTCTGCCCCCCCCCCCCAGCGGGGCGCGGGTTAACGCCTTACTAATTACTATACCTACACCAATTTGATGTGATTCCTGAAAATTGGAACGAAATCCATCTTACATTTTTAGAAAATTTTCTTTTTGTATGTCATGTCACGCTATCATATTCGCTTCAAAAACTCGAAAACTTCAAAAGCGCTTCTAACATCTTCATTTTATGGAAA